TGAGGTTCACAGACCATGTCAGTTGATGAGGTTCACAGACCAGTGTCAGTTGATGGGGTTCACAGACCATGTCAGTTGATGAGGCTCACAGACCAGTGTCAGTTCTGACAGAGAGAGTATCGGTGGATTTGGTTTTAAGATGGTACCGTGAACTGGAAACAGTGACCCCCTGTGGACAGGTGGGTGTAGCGCACCCTTCCGTCTCCCCCTGCTCTGAAGTGACTCCAACTGTGGGTGTGACGGTGGACGACGGTCTGTCTCCACGGGGGTCTGTGGTGGCGGACTGACCACGTGTCCGGGGTCAACCTTGGGTTTGAGTCACTGGTCAGAGGAGGTGGAGTGGACGGACGGACGGACGGATGGACGGACGGATGAAGCCCACATCGTCTGTTTCTCATCACTGTCACCTGGAGGACCCTCTCCACACACACATACACGGCACGCAACCATTCACAGCCCAATAATCCCAGGACATCGACCGACTACAAACACACTCCTCCTCGTCTCTGCTCGACTCCAGACCCCGTTTTTTTGGGGGGGGTCCTCGGTGACCAGGCCAGGGACCTGAGACATCATCAGAATAAAGTGCACGGAGATGATGTGTCATGTCCTCTGGCTGCTCACGGTGGACCACAGAACCACAGACCCTGGACCACAGACCCTGGACCAGGGGGTTGGACTGCTCTGGAGGCTGCAGCGTCTGTGCTGCTGACAGTGGAAGACATGGAAGGTGTTGTTGTCATCTTCCCTTTTTTTTTTTTTTCTCCCTCCCCAGCAGCAGCAGCAGTAACAGCCAGAACGATCCTTGACACAGAGAAAAAAAAAAAAACACTTGACAGCCGGCAGTGGACGGTACTGTACCTTAGTAGCGGCGGCGGCGGCAGAAACAGGGAGGACGGATTATCAAGTGTCTCCTAGCGTGGCGGTAGGACGGGGGACAGAACAGCAGCAGCAGCAGCAGCAGCAGGAGGAGGAGGAGGAGGAAGAAGAGGAAGAAGAAGAAGAAGAAGAGGAGGAGGAGGAAGAACCGGGACGATGGTTATTGCAGCTCTGTAGCATAAAATGGTTCATCAGTGTATGGGAGAGAGAGAGAGGGAGAGAGAGAGGGAGAGGGAGGGAGGGAGAGAGGGGGGGGGGGGGGGGGGGGGGGGGG